TATCATACAAAAAGAAGCTTTAATTTAATTCTCTTTTGGAGCATTTTCGAATCATACATACCTCAGACACCTTTTTTCGCGTTCCATTAACTTACCTTTCTACCAAAGCGCGTTTGGAATTATATGGGTGCACCCAGAAACTGGTTAGAGTTCTTCACCTTGTTTACATTAATTTTTGTCACCGTGTTGAAACCGTGGTGGCTTTGAGATATTGCATGGTATCCTCTGGGAATCCATAATTCGTCACAAGTTCCATTGGGTCGCATTCGAGAGATTGCCTCATCCAAAAATTAAGATCGCCGAGCTCTCTTTTCAGGGTACGCAATCTCTTACCAGGATCCATGAAAATAGTGGGTCGGATCATCTAAAGATGTTTCAAGTGGGTAGTCATTGGGGGCTTAGACCCATAAGAAAGATGCTGATATCCCACTGAAGCCAATATCCTTCAGGTCAACCAGAGCCTCTTTTCAGATCATATTCTTCCTTTTTCTTCTCAACCAGATACATTTTCAAACCATTCATTCCTTTTAATTCATTAAAAAAAGTTTGTTATTCAATCTAGGGTATAGGGTTTTCAGAGATATAAATTGGGTACGGTTTTAATCTTTGACAATTGTTTTTTAACAAAATAACCATCATTAGAGTCAAAATCCACGATCTCATACTTGCTGGTTCAAGATTTGCCATTACACCAAGCTAAATAAAATAATGGTCACCCCCGATTCCTTTTAATTCATTGTCAAGATGTGAAGAATGAAAACGTAACTATTTTGTTATCAGGTGAATCCAGTTCAACGGGAAATTGGAAATTAAGTTTTAGGTGGTGTTTGGGATTGATACGGATTCCTCAGAATTCAGTGCAGGCCGATTTTGAATTATTTTGGATGATATGGCATTTGATGTGGATAAGAGAGAATCACTGTTAATAATCACTATCAAACAAATTAAAAAATGAATATGGAAAAAAACGGAAGACATAGTAACAATGGTATTAAACAAACAATTTCTTTGATTTTTGAAAAAAACAATAATCTAAAAAATTAGTATAATTTATAAAAAATCTTATCATAAAATCATCATCAATCCCAAACACCTCCTTAGTCCTTTGAACATGCCAATTGTTGGACAATTATTGGGGTTCAGTAGCTACAACTACAAGTGAAGGGCTTCCTTTTCTTTAGAATCCAGGCCGGACTCGAATCTCGATGCACCGGCCGGTTCAAAACCTTACACTCAAGCGCCCATACGTGCATGCAAACCGTAGTATTATTCCCACAAAATAGGCCTATCGACATAGAAAAGTTAATCCCTGAAAAAGAAAGATTATTACGTGCATGCAATCTTCAATAGGTCCCACCTTAGAGATCTGATGCTAAGAATCAAGAATCCAATCTCGTGTCGTGATGGTCCAAACCAGAGATTACGATAATATCGGACCCACTACTCCACATTGGAGGATTATGGTCTAATCTCTCTTACGCATCATGTATGCCAATTGCCATGCTTTAAAAGGAATGACTTTCCTTCCAAATTTCAAGGGAAATTCGAGAAGTTCCACTGCTGTGTTAGGGTAGTTTAACCAATGGTGACGCCCCACGTCGGCCAATGCACGTGAAGCAAGCGATTTAAATAGTTGGGGGAATATCCTATTATTGCTCTGGATTGCTGATGCTAAGCATTAATCCGGGCTCAAATGAAATTCCCATCCTGGGAAGTTGACTGAATTGGGCACAAAGGACGACCTTGTATCGGTCAGTATCCCAGGGTCCACTTCATTCGATTATCTTGTTGATTGAAAAGTCGAATCAAGGGTTGACATCTTTACTATTCAAATATTCTTTCCTTTCCTCTCCTCTCTTGATTAGAGAAAAAGGATAAATGGATAATGAAACGAAAGAAATGCGGATGAAAGACGGAGACCGAGACTGATCCGAATAGCGAATCCTATACTCACTTCATTCTTGATTCTTCTAAGACATCTCAATATGTTCCTTGGGTTTATCAACAATGCCTTTCTTGTAGCATATATCCACCGTCTACAAATGTCAAGGGTCCCCAAAATTGACTGGTGGCAAAATTCAAGCACCTTAGATGCCTTAAACATTGATTCTACCATTCTAGCGTTCACGTCCCGCCTCTAATTAATTAATTGTGCATCAGGCTAGAATTCCGTAACTAGAATATAAAGGCATAGGCACTCACAATTCACAAAGGAATCTCACATGTCTATGTAATAAATTGAATCCGGGCTCAAAGAACAAGCACCATAATTTTGTCTGCACGTTCTAATACCCTTTGATACCTGTCAAAACAAACCCTATCTATTTTTTCTTTTTTTTTTTTTTTTTATCCATTGACTTGCAATAAAGTTGCGTAGCATTTTACTTGCCCATTAGTGAGCTTCCCAACTTTATTTCTTTAGCAAATTTAAAGGTCTACACTTCAGCTTATAGGTTGTCCAGAAATCACTGCACTTCATCTCGAGATGAGGGGACAACAGTTTGATCCGTTCAACACACCTGCAGTGTTAGTGGCCGTTTGAGCCAGTGTTTTCAAAAAATTTGATCGAATTGGACGGTTGGACCAGAAAATTGGGAACTGGTTCCGTTTTACCTAAAAATCGCTTTTTAGACAAAAATCATTGATTTGGTCAATGAATCATTTACTTAGGTGGTTGAATCATCGAACAGTTGACTTGAACAATCATTTTTGGCTGTTTTTTGTTTTTTAAAATTTATTTTATTTTTTGTCAGAACGAACTATCCATTCAGACCGAATGGTCACACCGTTCAACCCAAAAACCAAACCCAAAACAATTCACGGTTCAGTTTTAAAAACCTTGGTTTGAACCATACTCATGTTTGATATAGCTACTGCTGACAACCCAATTCATCAACACTACAGTTGAATCCTGTTTGGTTCCATGTGAAGTGATGCAATGAAACTATCGATCCAGTGTAACAATAGTAGATATAAATGGATGGTTTATTCCAAATTAATGTTTCAGATTAATTCCCAATGGCTGGTAAATTTCCTGTTGATATAACATCATTGACTTTATTGGCTTACCAGAAAATTTAAAAACCCATACCAGACCCCCCTTCCACCCAATGATCCCATCAAACAGAGCTGATGGATTGGCTTCAAAAGGATAAAGGCAGGGGCAAGGCGGTTGGGTGTCAACGAGGCGAGGCTGGGCTTAAAGTATAAATATAACTTTTTAATTTTTGTGTATATAAATATAATGTATGTACATATTTATATACACACAATTTATTACATTTTATAGCCAACTTGCATATTTTCTTTTTATTGCATATATATTCTTTTTAATATGAGCCTTATGCTTTTTAAAAATTTTATTCTATTATATTTTATTTTTATAACTCTCTTTTATCCAAACTAATTAATATATACATACATACTAAAATTATTTGCAATATTTTATGCATTTATATTCATATTTTTTTTATCTTAAAATTAATCATATGTTTTATGGTAATAATTTACCTAAATAAAATTATCCATTTAATTTGCATATTTTCATAGTTACAAAAAGCAAATTTATTTTTAATTTTCTTATATATTTTTCAAATACATTTTTTCTTTCATAGTTAATTTATATTTTATTTTTATTCAATTGTGTAGAAGGATGACAAATAATTTATAATATATTTTTTTAGTTTTAATGGTTTTTGTATGATGGTTACGCCTCACCAACTTGAGGCGCAAGGTGTGGGGTATACATCTCTAACAAATAGAAGCGGTAGCCTCTTAACAGAGGGGCTAGGCACTTTTTTGTAAAATAATAACAGAAATAAAGTGCAAATATAAATTTCTGCAAATAAATGAGAAACACACTTTTTTCAATGGATCCAACAACACTTCAGCACAGCCTTGGACTTCACAAAGTTGATGATACAATCCGAATTGGGCAGAACTCTTGGAGCCTCTAAAACTGGATTCCATCAAAACTCCAAAGTGTCTTTGGGCGAGAATAGTTACTATGATGAGTGATTTCCTGCAAAGTCCTCGTGTTGCACTCTCAAGTTAGATCTTTTATCAAAATAAATTCGATGAATATTCACCTAGCCAAAGAAGGGTTTGAATCTAAATTACATTCAACCAGGTTTTTATTTTTTCCCATCATGGAGCCAAATATCTTTTCCATTTTGCAAAGTGTCAACCAGTTGGTTAGTAAGATCTCCTGCTGATCATTGCAGAGACTTAGGATCGTATGATCGTATCCGACCTGCACCTGGGTTGGGGACTATCCCGATTGTGTAGTCGAAGACATAAAAGGAACATTTAAAACAAAGTTTTTTTTTTTAGAAATATCTTTTCCATTTTTATAAAATATATTGAATAAATTTCCCGCATGAGATAAATGTATCGTTGAATGGTGGATTCTGAGGATTATGCTTGTATTTAAAAATGGGCCTGATGGTGAGGTGATTATTCTTATCCCAGCCTGGACCTGAATCTGGCTTAAAAATTTCTGGGCCTGAAATAGTGCAAACAATATAACCCAGCCCAATCAACATTAAATGGCTTTGGGTAGGGCCTAGGCTGCTCCAAACTTATAAGTATGCACAGTATATGATATAGTTTATGTAGGATGGCAGTACAGATTTTAGATTCCTTGTATCAACTATGAATTGTATTAGAACTTACTGCACAGAGAATAATATCGATTCAGGCTGGGCAAGGGTTCCGCTGAATCCCAGCATGAATTGAACTCCGGTTTAGCCATGACCCGACTTTGGTTGCATGAACATTGCGATGTATAGGCCTATTACATACTCCTTTGCATGAATCATGGATTTGAGAAATTTCATTTGTACCAAACAAAGGGTTGAATTCTTGCAGTTATATTTGTGACTGGTACTCAACATAATGATGAGTTCTTTATACTTTCATAAATGAGCATGGAAGAACAAGACAAGAGCAGCACATCTACACAATGAAAAATGGGTATATATTTGGAGAGATCGTTCGCTTTAGCGGCTCATATCCCCCTGCACCGCTGGAGGTATTGCAACTCCTCTGTTCTGTCTCTCCATGTTCCCATGCCACCCTGCAGATTCAAATAAAATATATCACAACGAAAATTTGACACACAAACATTCAGCCCAAAGGGAGAGAGAGAGAGAGAGAGAGACACCAATAGACATGTCAAAACCACGGTTCTTGAGCTCTCTGTACTCTTGACACAAGGCACATTCCCCACAACAACAATGAACGCAGCAGTCTGTGCACGGACTTTCCTCCAAGAAAAATTGCCCTCTCAATTTGGACCGATAAAAACACGAGTACAAACATGAACAGCCCGTCATACACAGGATTAATGTGTACAGTGCTCCACTTACTCCACATGCTGCCCACATGCACCATAAGATAAATTTCACAATTATATTAGAACCAAAATAAAAGACGACCTCACACTAGGACAGAAAGAGTACTTAAACGCTATTCAACATTTGCTCTTCTCAACACTTACACGTCGATCCCCTATCAACAATTTCTGCAATTCGTCCAAATGTAACACATGGGCACCAGCACGTTAAGCAACCTGTACATATAGATTATCGCCCATCAATCAACAACATCAACAGGATTACCATACTAATTAAAAGCTAGAACATGACATTGTTATCAAACCAAGATTAGATTACTGTGAAGTGTAATTATATATAGCACGCTGTATCTATATTATCTGCAAGGAAATATTGCACTTACAGCTTGAGAAATCATCACAACAGTCACAGAGTCCGGTGGACCAAGGTGCTGGAGTTTGGGGTTGAATATGAAGAGTGGTTTTTGGACGGTTAACTTGGTTTGCAGTACTACTACTTCCTGCGACGCCGGTTGCCATTGGTGGTGGTCGACAATCGAAATGGGGTGGTGGGGGAGGTGCAGATGTTTCCTGAATGTCACCACCAGGAAACGTGGTTGCAGAGGGAGAGAGAGAGAGAGATTTCAGCGATTCGTATTAGAAAGAGAAGATCATATGAATGTGCTGGAGAGGCGCAACCGTTCGTATGTGTCTTCCAACTAGAAGTTCGGTTTGGCAACGGTTAACACTAGGTACGTGGCAGTTGATGATTAGTTGAGATCTGTTTGACCGTTATGATGGGAATTGAGAATGGTATACTTACAGCCTAGTCTGGACTAGAATTGAGAATGGTATACTTACAGCCTATAAAGAGGAATTATTACTTACCAACTGTCAATCATCCTCAGTCCATCCGACATTTAATTGGCAATATTACATATGGAAGGTATTTTGGAGAAATTGCAGCTGTTTGTCCACTTTGCAATTCTCACGACGAAACATTACAACATCTATTTATTGATTGTGATGTATCATGATGAGCTTTCTGGTTTGGTGCTCTAGATAGTGTTTGGGTGAATTTCTGGTGAAGCTATTTCATTGCTTGATAGGTTGGCTACACGAGCTCAGATAGATGATGTTACACAATCTTCTTGTCTCTCCTTCTTCTCCACAAGTATTTCCAATTTTGGTCTAGGGTTTCTTATTCGAGACTCCAATGGTCAGTTTATCTATGCTCGCGTTTTGCAAATACCTCCTTGTTTGGCTCTTGACTCTTGAGACTGAGGCTATGGCGCTCTTTGAAGCTTTTAAGTTTTTGTTGGAACTTCACATATTTTCTATAATTGTTGAGGGAGATGCTTTGATGGTGATAAAAGCTCTGGTGGAGACTACGTCTCCTCCTCGTTGATGTATAAGTACTGTTATAGCCGATTGCAGAACTCACATTCAGAGATTATTCCATTGCTCCGCACAATTTGTTCCATACTTTGGTTGATTTGCCCATCATAATGAATTTCCTTAGGCTTCGAAAAAAATTCAAGTAGTGGATTTCTATTGAAATCAAACGAGCTAACATATCGGTTTGAGTTCTCAAGTGCATCACACGGGGGCCCATTAATAATCATCTAATTAGAAAACTTACAGCCAATCATTTGATGAAACACAAGATGTGACCAATCAAATGGTATTCATTAAATATAATTCACGGAAATGCTTTGATTGGTCAAATGTCTTCTGCCTATATCATTGACTTTCCTAAAGCTCGGTTTAGAAAGATTACAAATATTTAATTTATAAATAGATAGAAAATAATACAAAATATAAGATTTGCATCATACATATTTGTATTTATACTCCATATATATGGTGAGATGGGGCTGTAACGTCGGTGCGAGCTGTGCTCTGTGAGGAGCAGACCAGGATTCAGCGGATGATGGTTATGTCTACGTGCAAATGCAAATTAAGAAGCACCCAATTGGTTGCCAGGGATTTGAGAAATATGGAATTGAGAACCTCCTCTTGCTGGTTCCTTTTGATCAGATTTCATTCATTAAGTTCTATTTGCCACTACCCATGAAAAAAATTTGCCAGTTCGGAATTGATGTTAATTCACCGGTCAGAATTATTGGTGTATAGAATGGGGTTTTTTGACATTTTGAATGTTTATAAGTCTAGAGGAATTCAGAAATGGGTCGGTCCGTATTTTTTTGAAAACATTTTGAATAAATTACAAAGACCAGAGTCAGTGACAAAGACTCCATGAACTTTTGCCGTTAGACAAACACCCCCTCCGTTGGGAATCCTTCAGTCAACCGACTGTTTAAAGTTTCCTAAATGCCCAGACTACCATTCTGTCCTCTTTCCAGAACACGCAGCACAGTCCACTTGTCCAAGGCAAATATGAAGAAGATTCGATTCAAAATGGGTACCCAACCGACTGCTAGATGCTGCGAACCAGGGATTCAGGTAAGCTTCATTTAATCTCCTTACACCTTCCGTATGCCGAGGACCTGATGAGGATCTTTGTGATTTGGTCGATAGTCTACGAAAAGGGGGAGTTTCGGTCGGCGCTGGAAGATGGAATGCTTGAGGAAATCCCAAAAAAAAAAAAAAAAAGAGAGGAGAGATGGCACTGGATAACCGGGATTTATGCCGAAGACGGTCGAAGGTGCGGAGAACGGTGAGGAGAGAATGGCTGGGAGTGAGAGAACGATGAGGAGAGTGAAGGGGAAGCGTTTTAATGGGAGCCAAAATGGAGAATCACCGCAGTAGAAGAAGATGATGAACAGTAAACTTCGAGATTTCGAAAGGGAAGAAGAAGAAGAAGAAAAGGAAAAAAAAAAAAAAAGAAGAAGAGGAAGTAGAAGAAAGAGAGAGAGAGACCGGAGAGAATGGCTGGGCGGAGGGGTGTCGCCGCTTCTCTTCCTTTTCGCAGCCGCCTCTGTTTTTTGGGTTCAAAGAAAGAGAGTGAATAGTGAATTAGGATTGATCAAAAACTTAGGCTGGGTTTTATAGGTTCGGCTTTTAGGAAGTTTAGGGGGCATTTTCGTAATTTTAAAAATTCATGTCAAACCGGGTATTCTGGTTCAATGGTGGGTGGTTTCGGTAAAAAAAATGGAGGGTTAGATGGGTATAAGATTGGCTAATTCAGATGAAGGGGTAAATTGGGGTATTTTTGACTGAAATTTGGTAGGGTGGGGTTTTTAGACATTCTGGGTTGATTGGTAGGGTCAGATTGGGCCAATTAGGCCCAGATCTGGCAGATATAAAAAAGTACTGGTTCGGTCAATCTAGGGCTTCGAAATGGAACCTTGGTGTGACAAAGGGGCAAATAAAGGCAGTTTTGGGTAAAATTTCACAGGATAAGGTTTTTAAACAGTATGAGGTGATTGGTAAGGTCATATTGGGCCATCTAGGCCCGAATTGGAAGGATTTGGAATCCTATCAATTTGGAGTCTTAAAACGGAAGGTTCGATGGAGGGGTAAACAAAGTTGTTTTGGGCTGAAATTTATAGGTGGGCATTTGGAGGTTTTCGGGATCTGATGATGATGTCTGATTAGTCTTGGCGGGTCAAGATCATAGGAATTTGGGTCAATGAGATGTTGTAGAATGGAATCTTGGTTTGATGGAAGGGCAAATGGTGGAATTTAGGGTTGAAACTTTATGGGTAGGTGTTTTGATATATCTAGAGTTTAATGGTGTGGTTTGATCTTTTTGGGTGTATTAAGATCAAGGGAATCTTGGTTCCGAGTGTTTAGGCTAATGAGACATCATAATGGAATCTTCATTTGATGGGAGGGTAAACAAAGGAATTTTGATTTGAAATTTGTCAAGTAGGTATTTTGAGAGGTCTTGAGTCTAATGGTGGTGTCTGATACGATAGTAAAAGTGTAGACAGGGGTTGATCAGGGGCATCAGATTGGTATCAAATGGGTTTAATAGTGGATTTAGCAGCTTTGGGGCTGAAAGTTGGGATTTTTTGGTTTTTGGGTGCTTTGGAGGAATTAGAATGCTTGATCGGGTGTTTAAGGTAAGTTAGAGATTTAGGAAACGAGCCAAACAAAAATCGGGTATTGATAAAGCGGAAGAACAAGAAGGATGGAGAGGTGGTCAGAGGAAGCGCTGATGATGATTTGAGTGGGGATGAAGGCTCCTCTGTTATGGACAATGATAAGAATTTAAGCAGATGAAGGCGAATTTTAGGATTTGTGTAATGAGTACAAGATTATATTTTTCTTTAAGAGGTCGTTGAATGAGTGGGATTAGAAAACCAACGAAATACCAGAGGCCGAGAAGAGGACTACCAAAGGGAAATAGATGGTTGCCACATTTAAGGAGTGTGCTCGGTTCCTCTATCCCCTCTTCAAATTTTGTAGGAAAAAGAATCTTCTAGATAATATTCGTTAAGCATTGTTAGCGGTAGTTGAATGCTGCATGCAACGGGATCACTTGGCTGCAATGGATCAATCCATCAAGCTGCCTATTGGAAATGCACCTTGGTTGTTGGTGTGACTACGGTTGGTGTCCATGTATGTTTAACTCGGAAGAAGATTGAAACCAGCAGTGTGGCTCGTATGATGAGACGACCCGCAAGTATCTACAATCTGTGAAAAGACTTGTGACATTGTGCCAATGAAGGTACCCTACAATGCAATCTAAGGCTCTTGAGTTTAACAACTTGGCTAATGAGAGTAAGTTGTAATCCCTTCTCAACGAAGAAAGGGCACTAATGATGTACGGTTTGGACGCTCCCTGCTAGAGAACATCTCAGACGTCGGGCTTGTAATGTCACTTGGTCGAGCTGCAAGACAAGGCAGTTAGAGTGTTCCAGGGTGCTTTATCTGGTGTGGGCACTCTGATGCTTAAGTTATGATGGAGATTTGAGAGAGCTGAGAGCTTAATAGCAATGGAATTTGAGAGCTAGATCGCGCGTCCCTTGTGAGGGTGGAGGCGAGGCCTTTATATAGGCAAGCTGTTGTGGGCCTCACGATGTTTGTCCGAGATCGTCAGCCCGTCTAGTTTGAAGTTGGTTTCGCACTTGAGGATGGACTCCGAGTGAGCAAATAATACTTATCCATGTCCATTCGAATTGAATGGGGAACAGACAAGATCCATTGACGTATACCGTGATCCCGAGGAGATCGAAGACATCAGGCTTGCTTCTAGAAGGAGGCTACGTGGCACTTCAGTAGGTCGGTGGATGTAATGAGCTACTTAGGCCTCGGTTTAACTAGGTGACCCAAGGTGCCCAAGGTGACTAGGATCGCTGAGGTGTATGAGGTCACTGAAGTGTCTCCACATTATTCTGTCGCTCCACGTGTCATCACATCATTGGATGGGCCAAATTGTCCCTCATCAGGCACAAAACTCAGAGGAAAGGTTACAGTTGATGCCCACATCCAAGGATAGCTAGTTACCATGTCACATTAATTTTACACTAGAGTGTTTTTCCTTTTCCAACCATGTGTGTCTTTTTTCTAATTAATTTATCAGAGATTTCTTTTTTTTTTTCAAGTGATGATCACCGGCGAGATGATAA